TCCCTCTGTTCACTGCTAGCAATTTCTGAATAATAGGAGAATTAGAATAAATCCGTTAAAAAAATAATTGACTAGCGCACCGACTGCCGGTGCGAAGATGCGTTTTTCGCACAGCTCCCCGCAGGTTTTTATCGCTTACGGCACTGGTTTTTCCGGCAGAGCTAAAAGACTTGAGACTGGGCACCACGACTGTCAGAAAACATCCCCTTAAAATTTCAGTTTTCTAGCTTTTCTGGTTCCCGAGATAGTAACTTGCCCGCAAAAGATTTTTACGGGCCTGTATGTGGGAATCACGAACAACTGGGGGCTGAGTTTGAACTCATTAAGTCTTATATGAACACGGAACATCCCCTTAAAATGTCAACTTTGTAGCTTTTGAAGTTGCCTACTAGCAACTTACCTGCAAAAAACTTCACGGGCCCGTACGTTAGAAACCCGTGGGCAAGAGGGTCCATTAAGAGGATATAAGCCCGTATATACATATAAATTAAGTTCCTAAAGTTTCGGTCTTGTAGCTTTTACAGGTCTCGAGATGAAAAATCGGTACGGACGAACACACAGACAACCCATCGACAATATGTGTTTTCTGCATTGCATAGATGCAAAGAAAGCATAAAAACTACTTCATCAAAAACAAGTGATGACTTTCTCTGATGTACTGCTGTACGGTAAAATGTGTCTCGCACAAAGCAAATTACCCGATCTTTCTCGCGCTCGTAGCGTCGTTTCCATTCCTCGGCAGTGAGCTCTTCGTTCACAACCACAACGTTCTTGATTGTCTTCGCCCGCTGCCCAAACATCAACGTGCTTTTCGTTTCTGCCTCGTTTACCGATGCTGGCGAACAGCATATAACAATTGTTGTGCGTGAGTTGCCTCCTAGCGATTCTTGTAAAATGCGAGTCAGCTTGCTGTCACGATAGGGCACATGCCCTTTCTGCAATACATCCCAGAACTAACATAACGCAGGCTTGCTCCTCTCATCAAAATGAATGATTTCCCTTATAAAATTATTATAAATTTTACAGTTACAAATTTTGTTTATGTATTACTGCTCATGCTTCTACTCAATAAAGCGCTTTACTGTGTTTGGAGGAGGAGTAGGCCGACTGTAGCATCCAAATTGACCTTTGATGCCAAGTTTCGAAGGCACAAAGTAACTGTGTTCAATTCACATCAATGGCTTCTCAAAACGACTAAACTGAACTGTCAAATTTGTTTCTTTTGTTTCTAGAAGAAGCCGTTGAACAAATACCTAATTCATGAGATGAATATTAAGATCATAAAATATTAGTCAAAGCAACTGGAAGGTATTTTCAGGTACTACCGTATGTTTCTGGCACTATCCCATAAGCAAAATGTTCTGGGGAAGAATGCACATAACTTTAAATATTCATCACAACAATCTGAACCCTTTTTATTTTCTTTCATTCATTACCAGCACAGGCCATGGGCGATTACCGCTCCCCTCCCCCCACGGTGCTTTTCCATTTCAGGCACGAATTTTGGCGCCCATCCGGGTAATACCCTAAGCTACGGAGCCGCTGTTCCGGCCCCTTCTTCTTTTCATCACAGGGCCCTTCAGGCCCGTACTGCCTTTTTGTAGTGATTTACTATGTATTTCAGTGCGGAGGTGCCAAAATTTTCCCAGAACTTTAACTCATGATATTTGCTTTTACATTTCTCATTTTGTCATTTTCACTACCGAATATGAGCATATTCCTACTGGCCCACCAAAAGAACACCGCAAAAAAGCGAGGAAGAAACATGTCCCAGACGCTGTATCCAAAAAAGGCATATTTTAAAAATTAAAGAATTCTTTGTGACCATGGCGCACCGAAAATCATTCACTGATGAAGCTTGCTCAGTACGAAGCACGCACGCTAGGAAGAGGCATAAAAGTTGCATAAAGATGAAAAATGTTAGCATACCGCTCCTTCGGCTAATGCGGCGATTACGTTGCCAAGTGCTGACAAAGATTTGTTGATGTTTTTCGCTTCTTCCAGTACCATACCTTCGGCGCCCGTTTTACTCACCTGAAAAGAACAAATGCATTTGCCTCCAATACGCAGGATGACAAAATCTTGTTACGGCCAGTCTACATACTAATTTTTTTCTTTTTCAGACATTTTAGATGAAAAAATGTGCAAACAAAGAACGGATTTTTCTCGCAGAAATTGAGGGACCACAGAGTTAAGTTCGCACTTCTGCAAAAAAGCCCAGTAGCTAGGCTACCTTTTCTTACGAACCAAAACAAAAGCCAACCTTACGTCGCCACCATATTACTGAAACAAATCATCAAGATGCCTGTTTTTTTGACCAGAAACATCATAACACAGCTCAGAAAAAAAGAATGAACTTACCTTTTCACTTCCGGCAAGATCGACAAGATACAACTTTCCAGCGAGCTTCTTCTGCGTTGTTGGATTTTCCTGTTTCACCTGGATTAGAAACACACTGTGACTCCTCGAACTATGCTCATTCATATCTGTAAAAACCATGCATAAACGCGCTTTCAGTACAAAATATTTAACAGCCACGTGCTTGCAAAAGTTTAACTTCGTGAAATTCGCCAAATTCAAGAAATTATAAGATTTTGCACCGCGTCTCTGAGGCATACTCTATAAATTGGGATACTCTATAAATTGCAGAAGCTTCTCGTCAACGCCCAAACGAAAAGAGATATAATATGTATTTTGCATCAGCACTAGCAAAGACTCGGGAGCTCCAAGAGTACTGCTACAAAAGTAAATGCACATCGAAGTCACTAACTCAATGTTTTAAGAAGAGAGGCTCCGATCTTACATAAGAAAATTCTTGAGGGACGCAAAGATACAAATGGCCTATTCCATATGCCTTGTACGAGAAGTGGCAAAAACCAAGTGATTTCAGGATATGAGACAATTTGTCGTCCAATTTCAGGGTTTCAGGGATCGCAAACACTCTTTGTTTGTAAAAGCGGTTAACAAATTCTCGTATCAGCCTGTACGCAAAATGCTAAGTACACCAAACTTATCAGAGCAAAGTTATACCCCTATCTTATACCCCTATGAGGGAGTTTTGAGTGGTTAAAGTGCGAAGAGTTGGGAGCCTTCAAAGCTCAGGATGTAATATGCTTCAATATTCACCAGTCGCAAACATTTCATGACGAAGCGGGAAAGAAAAGAGACTTACTTGTTACAGCGACATGCCTGTTATTTTTGCCCTCATCAATGCAAGCCATCACTTCTTCCGGACTCGAAACGAACCGTTCCGTCACGCCTTTCACATAAGGTACCCGATTTTTATCTTCATGGATTGCTAGATTCATTTTTGTAACTGCAAAAAAAAAAAAATTTATTGGTTTAAAGTTCTTCCGTACACCGTCTGACTAATTATTACAGAAATTAAGACGAATAATCAGATCTCTGTCAGGCAAGCGGCGTGCAGGATACTGCTGCGACTACGCGAGAAAGTAAAATTCGACGGACGAGGCATGGTGCTCGCCCCGCTGACAAACAGCGGATGTCGTGCATTAGTAAGCGGTGCCTAGGAAAAAGAAAACGAACATTTGGGTGCTGCCCAAAAAGAATGTGAAGCCTGTGAAGCTAATCGCTGACGAGATAATGCAAATACAGTGAGTCTGTAAGAGCTAGAGGTATGCAGCCAAGGATCAGGCATAGCTGTGCCAGCACGTGAGAGCATCCCAGCAATAATTTACTAGCACGGAAGCCCACATTGTCTGATCAGGCTGCTTGATGCTCTCAGTACATACAAATAGCAAGTGTTCGTAGAAAAAGCCTACAATGACACCGCGTATCCGCGCTGGTGCGAATATATTCCGACTTGTTAAGCCGCGGTATCTGATTTGAAGGGGTAAAAACAACAGCACAATCTCCGAAGCATGGGCGGATGCAGGATGGCCCCTCTGGGGAGGAGGGAAAATGGGGGTCCTGGAGGGATTACAAGGAGTGCGGAAGAGAGTTTTCTTCAGTTCTAGCTTTAAACCCAGACTTTTGTAGCACTGGTGCCTGTGTCGCTGGGGAGGAGAGGAAGACCCATTACCCCTATCCATCCGGATCCGCCTATGCTCCGAAAATGCACAAGCATGGTAAAAATGGCGGACAACAGCTGGCTGTAAAACACCGGATAGAAGGTGACAGAACTACGTTGACAGCTTGCTTGGTACATATGGGCCGCTTTTCTCGGGCTACTTCCTCATATTCCTAGGCTTATACTTTTGTTGTATCCGTTGCGACACACGTTGAGTTCGATTT